TTTTTTTTTTTTTATTTTTTTTACTATTATTCTTTGTATTGTAAAAATTAAATCGTGTTTTTAGTTCTAAAAGTTTGCGTCCGCCCCTGATTAACAGGATTAACTCAATCAAACAAGCTCAAGTGCAACTTATTTGTTACATGGGTCGAGCCAAGCCAAGCTGAGCATTAACCAGTCAATCAGAGCTCATTTTTTTAATAGCTATTAATGAAGCTTATGAAATAAGTTCATTTTTTTTTATGTTTTTAGGGCATGCTTGTTTATTAAATAATTCATTTCATATTTAAAATCTAACTCAATTTTAACTCAACTCCACTATCATTTATATTATTTATATAATTAAATATTATAAACCAATCATTCTTACATATCACATCAACTTTAATTCACTATTCATCCACTCACATAATTTTAATTACCAATCATTTCCATTCATTTATATCCTACTTTTACATCAAATCATTAATAATCATTTTATTTTAAATATTATTTTAATATATCATTAAAATTCCACTAACAACTAACCCTAACACTTTTTTCAAATTTAACTCTAGTTAATCAAAATAACTCATTTTGAACAAATTATTTCATAAACAAGCATGCCCTTAGTTTAACATAGAAAACCAAATTTATTTGAATATAAGATTTCATAAGCCAACTAAATAAAATACAGTTTAGTTTATAGTGCTTACCAAACAAATGTAAGTGTCCACGATTATTTAGTTATTTTTATCAAGTCCATTTTATTTATTATTTTATTTTATTTTTATCTACTCTAAAAAAAATTTATTCATTGTTATTTTTTTAAATAAAAGATACTAAACGTTCTCATTTAAATATTTAATAGCACAACTTTATGAAATTAGTTAAAAAATTGATTGACAGTCTACCAAAAATAAGCAAAAAATGTATATTTTATTTTCCCCAATCAACCGCACTAAAATAAAATAAGTCGCATGCGCCAAGCACACCCTATATATCAACTTCACAAAATTGGAGGAAACATAACCGGAGACAACCCGCCCAAGTACGACCCTCCACGCGCCGCACCCCACACATCCACAATCAAAGGAGACAAATCGCAGCCAATGGCTGATCGTCTGGCAATCGCTCGCATAGAAATGGCTTCTCTATCAACGGCCGCCGCCGTCACCACCGCCGCAGCCGCCTCTCGCTTCCTCCCGGCTGCCGCCTCCGCCAGACTCTCGCATAGTTCACCTCTCGCTCTCAGCTCCGCCTCCGTTAGATCGTCTACTCCCCTCACTCGCCTCTTTCTTCACCAGGTACCTGAACGTATTGATTTTCCGTGTAGTGAATTTGTTTTTTATGTTGATTCTAAATGTTATTTCGATTGGGAAATAAATAAAAAAAATCAGAAAAGCGCTGTGCGAGGGTTTTCGAGCCGTCGAATTGGTTACTCAACGGCGGCGGCGCCGAGGTGCGCGGCGTCGGTCCCCGAGCAGCTGAAGAGTGCGCGTGAGGATATCAAGGAGCTGCTTAAGACTACCTTCTGTCACCCTATTATTGTAAATTTTCATCGAAACCGGTTTCTAGTGTATTTGCTTGCTTAAGATATGTGTATGGAGTTGCATAGGTTCATCTGTTGAAATTATACTCTTAGTTGTTGATTTTTTTTTCCACATTTTAACTGCTGGAGAATTCCGATACTCGTTAGCATTGTTTATTTACGCATGTTTGATGCAATGGCTATGTTTTTGTTCTGATGTTCAAGCTTGAATCATGTTTATAGTATTAGATCATTTTATGTTTAGAATATCACATCGTTTTATTCTATCTATAGAGAAATTTGTGGCTGCAAATAATGTGAATGAATTGGTGTATATCATTATGCTGGCTGTCGATCATTGTTATGCAGGTTCGACTGGGTTGGCATGATGCCGGTACATATAACAAGAATATTGAGGAGTGGCCACAGAGAGGAGGTGCTAATGGAAGCTTAAGATTTGAAATAGAACTGAACCATGGAGCAAATGCTGGTAAGGTCTTCATTTTAGTTATGATTTATGAATTAGTATTTACCGATTGATGATTAAATTGCATGACAAGTTGGAGCTGGATAGGGCTTGTCAATGCTCTGAAACTTCTTCAGCCCATCAAGGAGAAGTATTCTAGCGTGACATATGCAGATTTATTTCAATTGGCTAGTGCTACTGCTATTGAGGTTAGTTACTTTGATTCAATGTGTGAGCGCATTTGTATTTACCAGCATTTGACTAATATCTATCTTCTTATTAACAGGAAGCTGGGGGAGCCAAAATCCCTATGAAGTATGGGAGAGTAGACGTAACTGGACCTGAACAATGCCCAGAAGAGGGAAGGCTTCCAAGTAAATTAAATCTATCCTTTAAAAAGTATGTTTTTTATAGTGTGAATGTACTAAAGCAACGCTATCATTTAGAGTATAGGTAACATGTATGGCATATAATTTCCTGTTCGAGTCGGATACTTTGAAGTATGCCTGACTAATTAGCAGTCAATTGGCATTTTTTTATGGCCTTTATGAAGCTAATTGGTTGTGATGGTTGCAAATAGTCGTATCCAGTTTTTCTAGAGTTCTTCAGAATTATTTTATACTCCAGCAACTGCATTTAATGGCTTGTCGATGAGAAACATTGTTACTTTTCTGCTGATGGCTTTCGAAACTTGAGAAATGTAGCTAGTATGTGCTAGCATCTGCAGGATCTTCAAACCTTATGATGATTGATGACATGTTCATGCAGCAATTTATTTATTTCTTGGAACTTGGAGCAGAAAAAATAATTTTCAGTAACTACAGTATTTCTTACTGTTTAACTTTTCACTTTGTTCCTTCACGGCCTGTTTCCATTGTACTAATGACATATGGGCTGTCCTACTATTCACAACATAATTACTAATCTGCGATATAATTCTCATATCTCATGAGCTGTTGATAATTCATTTGTTAGATGCTGGCCCTCCTTCACCTGCTGCTCATCTGCGCGATGTCTTTTACCGTATGGGATTGAATGATAGGGTATAAGTTCTTTTTTTTCTTCTTTTTTTTTTATGAGTTCTTAATTTATCTTTTATTTGTTTCCAGTATCATTGTTATGACTGATGAGTTCCTTGATGTCCAGGAAATAGTTGCTCTTTCGGGTGCACACACTCTTGGAAGGGCAAGGCCTGATCGTAGTGGATGGGGAAAGCCCGAGACTAAGTACACGGTAGCAAAAGAAGCTTTTATCATTTATTTTTCAGTAATCACTTTCTTGATTATGAAAAGCTGAGAATCATTAGTTTAGAAGTTAAAAAATGTTACATGTTAAATAAGAGCCATGTGTCCAATTAATGTTATTTTAGTTAAGAAAGAGGTCACTACGCAGCAACAAGCTTCTGGCATGCCAGGGAATATGTTTGTTTGTTGTAGTGGAATTTCACATCCATTTACCGATTCAAAATTAACCTCCCCGAATGATCCTTAACTTGTAATATACCTGTGATGCATGTGTGGCCTCTCAATGTACACACAGTAATTTGAATTCAATCTGATGACAAGTGCACATGATGCCAAAATAATTTTGCTTGCAATCAATAGAAGATTACAGGCATTTCTCTTTTGTATGTCTACGGAATATGAAGGACTTGCTGTAGAATATCTAAGATTCTTTTAGGTACTCAAATGGAGTTAAAGGAATAATAAATTTAATTAATATAAGAATTAAGGAATAATAGATTTTCGAGTCTCTTTTGCTACTTTAATTTGCATTATAATCAGATTTTGCTGTCCACTACCGAAAAGCATGAGGTGTGGATCAGTTGAATATACTTAGCTGACAAACTATTTGCATGAGGCAGAAAGATGGACCAGGAGCCCCTGGAGGACAATCATGGACAGTGCAGTGGCTAAAATTCGATAATTCATACTTTAAGGTAATACATGATAGTTTCTAACAGTACAGGTTTTCATTTTTCTAACTGAATTTGCTGACCCGTGTTTCTTATGCATGTGGTTTGATTGTTAGGATATCAAAGAAAAAAGAGATGAAGACCTGCTAGTTTTGCCTACAGATGCTGTTCTATTCGAAGATCCTTCGTTCAAGGTGATTTGACGGGATGACACACACACACACACAAAGAATAAACTGTCCTTATTAGTTATAAGTTTGAGCTTATATGGAATTAAATGTGCAGGAGTATGCAGAGAAATATGCGGTTGATCAGGATGCATTTCTCAAGGATTATGCTGAAGCTCATGCTAAGCTCAGCAATCTTGGAGCTAAGTTTGACCCGCCAGAGGTAGCTAGCCCTTTACTTTCCAATTGTGACCGATCAGAGTAACCGTTGCTTGTTCAATCTGATGAATCTAGTCAGATTAGTTGAGTCGTTTAAATAAGATAAATTACATTATTTCCCCTAAGTCTACCCGAACTATAAAAATTCTTACCATGCAACAAAGATATACGTGGTCCTGTTGATATTGATATTTAATTGAGAAAAAATCCTCAATTAGTTCACAGGAATAAATGATATGGCAGTATTTGCAATTTCAAATGCCATCCTTTTACTTTATCTTTATCCTTTATCTTATTTATTATTGTAATGTGACTGAACCTTGAGTGTTTATTGTAATTAGCACCTAAAGCTAAAAGAATCTATTCTGAATTCCTTTTTTCAGGGTTTCTCATTGGATGAAAGTAGCCCAGCTGCTCAGCCAGAGAAATTTGTGGCAGCTAAGTACTCAACTGGAAAGGTATTGATTAAAGTAGCTCTCATGACAGTCCTGCATAAATTTCCATTTTTTCGTGCTTAAAAGCGATTATGAAAGTGATAAGTATCAAATGCTAAATAATTTTCTGTGGTTGCTGCAGGACTAAAAATTTCACAGTTCAAGCATCTTCTTTTTACGTGTGCCGTTAGTTAAAAAATAAACACGCGATTGACCAACCGTGTGAACATGACTATAAATATCTGGGATTTTGAATGAAGGAGAAGAAATAAATTTTCAACCTAGTGTTGTTTGAATTGCAGAGAGAGCTCTCGGATGCTATGAAACAAAAGATTAGAGCCGAGTATGAGGGTCTCGGAGGGAGTCCAGATAAGCCTCTCCAATCGAACTATTTTCTTAATATCATGATTGTGATTGCTATTTTGGCATACGTGACATCTTTGGTTATGAACTAAAACAGTTCTTTTTTCCAAGTGAAATTCCTGACAAATTTTCTTTTCTACACTCGACTTGGAAATTTTAAGGCACAAGTTTGTGTGCTCATACATGTTCATCTTGGGATGCACCTTTTTGCTATTTTTCCTCTATAGTTATCAGAGATTGTCTGGCTTGAGCTTGGACTTTTTCTTGAAGAGATTATAAGCTCTGCAAATTTGGTAGGTTCATCTGAAGAGAACTCTTTTAAGCATTCAAAAGAAGCTGTAGGTGCGCATAAATTATTTTTGAAAAGTAAGGGATCCAATATTATTTGATAACATCTTATAATCATATAACTCAATGTTGGCTGAATTAGATGTTAGAGAGATCATAATTTAACATCATCTTTTGTTTGCTTTCTTTCCAATAGGTTTTTGTTAAGCTGGCTTTAAATTTTTTCACACATATGCATACTTTCATTAGAAAATGTCATACTATAGAACAAAAGTATGACATTTGATACTATAAATATGTATTGTTCACAAAGTTTGATGGTCGACTTGTCTATCTGGTAGGCTGCCTTACACAAGAATTCGTATTTTTTTAAACATCCTCTTTCACTTTTGGCCATTTTATTTTCAAATGTTAATAGTTCTAAAACCTTTTAAACTACATCATCTTATTTTATCAATAACCTTCAATAATCTAGTTTCACAACGGGGACCAATATCTAATACTCCCTCCATTTTGAAATATAAGGCGTATAAAGATTTCTTAATTTTTTTGAAATATAAGGCGCGCTCAAAAATCAAGACAAATTTTTACATTTTTTTCCAAATATACCCTCATTGTGTTGAAATTAAGAAAGTGTGGAATGGTTGTGATTAGAGTAAATAAGGTTAATTTAGTCAATTTATTCATTAATTAATGTCTCCTTAATATTTGTGCAATAACCTTAAATGTCTTATATTTCAAAATGGAGGGAGTAACAAATAACATCAATTAGTCTTGGTAACGTCAAATAACCTATGAAAGATGTTACAATACAAGCATACAACAAGCCATACATCCTCTCAGGTCTAGTTATAATTAGTGTTGGGCCAGTTATGAATCAGACTCTGGGGAAAAGCCCATTAACTTTATTTGGACAACCTAGCATTCAACACGCATTTGTAACTTTTGGGGTTGAAATTTAATGGGCTTTGTATATGTATAAGCGAGTTTAGAAGCATCTCATTCTACTTTTGTGATGGTTTTAAGTTGGTCTGAAATATCAAACAAAATATCTTTGTCCGACACTGTAATCTGTACTTTATAGACAACCCGCCGTAGCTTACGAGGTTGTTTACCAATTACAAACATTGAATGCTTTCACCTTTTTTATTAAAATACTTGGGTGAAGTTGATGGGAAGACAACTTGAGTGCAAATAGTCAGTTTGTTTGAAAAATTTCCCCGTTTTTAATAACACATTTGTTTTTGAAACATTGATCGAGGTTGCGGCTATGATATCCTGATCTATTCAATTTGATTTTTTTAAAATATAATAAAGGAAAGGTCTGAAAAAGAAAAACGAAGAATGTAATTGAAATTATAATTGGACCTGAGATTTGAATATATGTAGATATGAAAAATGATTCAACTGAGCATTTATAAAATATAAGAATGAGTTGATATTGGAAGAAAATGTATGAGTGTAAGAATAGGGGATAAAACGGGTGCGGCATCACGCAGATGAAGTGCACCATGACAGAAAAAATTTAGATCAAGCCAAAGTGAGGTTCGATCCCAAAATCAGATAAAGGATGTGAGACAACTCACAAGTATATTATTATATTCTAATAATAAGAATTTTCAATGAAGTGAAACGATGTGAAGTATTGCATTTAATTATTTGTTCATTTCGTATTTTGAGATGATAGAAACATGTAGGAACATGTCTTGAGAATAGCATGAAAACAATTGAAATTAAATGAGCACGCAAAAGAAAAATGAAAGATAAGAGCATCTTCAATGGCACGTGGGCCTCATTTTGTTACCACATGGCACAAGAAAACCTACGTGATCTAAAAAAATTCTAAAAGTCTTTCTAAATATAGAATTACTTCTACACAACTTCTACTACATATTATATTATTTATGCAATTTATTTCTTTAAAAATTTACACATGTCAAATTAAACCATCTTTAACATTAACCATTAGAGACACAATTTCTTAATCTCCTTCCTTCATGCCATGCAACTCAAAATGGACAAGATACCATTGGAGATGCTCTAATAACGATATGTAGTTTTGTATTCAATTATATACTCATGTCGTACTTTGTATCATTTAAATTTTCATTATCTGTTGAAAATTGAATGGTTTTCTTATGTAGCCATCGGATGGTTTTCATTATCTGTTGTGCAAAAATTCTATGGAGTCATCGGATGGTTTTCTTATGGAGCCATTCATCACTTAATTTATTGATACTTGTCCAAAGTGTATTTATTACAGGACATATATTATTTGTGAATAACTGTGTTTGACTCCATAAGTCGAGCCATTCGATAACTCCATAGCAAAACTGTCTAATTGTGAAGTAAAATGGTGATATTATGACCGTTTGACATTTAACCAACTTTCACACGTTAATTTACAGTTTTTTTGTTCGATCAAACATGTGGAATTCGTGAACTGTCAATGTTTAGTCATAAATTCCGTCTCATCGATTGATCTAGTAATTATGTGAAACTTAATTTCTGTTAAAGATTGGGTCGAAAGGCAATGCGACATT